TGGTGACAAAAAATCCCCTTAAAATATTCCTCTTTTGATGATAATTTCCCTAGTTTCTTCACCATAGGCCATTAGGACAGTTTTCCATTTTTTCATGTTTTTTTGAGGGATATTCAGAATATATTATGAATATTTTTACTTATCCCAAAAACATTTAAGCAGCTGTTAATCCAGCTGTGTGGCAATGAGTCAGATGCCTTTTTATACTCTATCCAGGCCATGTTAAGATTTGTTTTTCATCTTTTTGCATTCTTTAGTATCATTGTATCAATAAATAGCTGATAAGTTGTGTCTCTTGACTTTTTAAAGTTCCTTTTCTGTTCAGTTGGGTATAGAGAGTTTTCAATTAAATAATTACATATTGATCTTGCAAGAACTCCTGTGAGGAGCTTGAACACTGTTGGAAGGCATGTAATTGGTCTATAATTATTGGGTTCATTGCCCTTTGGATGAACTTTTATTATCAGAAATGTGCAGCCTGTTGTCATCCAGTCTCCAGTTGTAGAATTTAGAAGTAAGTTATTAAATTACACTGCTATACATTGATGGAGACTTGTTAAAGTTTTCTTTTTTGTAAACTCATTTTTAGTTATTGTTGTACCCCTGTTGTGAGCCGCCTAGAGTGGTCTATTGACTAGATAGGCGGGATATAAATAAAATAAATAAATAAATAAATAAATAAATGCTTTAAACAAAACCCGTTTAGCTCGTTTGGACCAAGTGCACCTCAGTTTTTCACAGCCTTTATTTGTCTCTTAATCATTTCAGTTGTTAAGTACAATATAATCCATATGTTTTCCGTGAGTTCCTTTACAAATGTAATCTATGTGGTGTCTTTGTTATGTCCGATTGGGCTTTCCCACATTGCTTTCCAAAAGTTTCGTCTTCTGCACATGGGCCTGATTTCTTTTGCTCTGTGTTTTCTCCTAGTTATGTATAAAATAATGATGGTTATTTCAAAATTGAGTGTTTTCTCTATATTGTTTCAAGCAGTCATATCTTTCAATTTTCTTTCCTATAAAGAAAATTGTTACCAGGTGTTTTAATTCTTCCATGATTGATTGATTGATTGATTGATTGATTGATTGATTGGATTTTTACCCCGCCCCTCTAGACCATGTCTACTTGGGGCAGCTTACATAGATTATTTTCCTTTCTAGGTCATATATTTTGCATAGTCTGGCTTTTACTTTTTCAGTTTTAAGTTTTGAATCTTTCAGGTGTTTTAAGTTGCTAATGTCTGCACATAATTTGTTTATTTTTCTTTCCAGCTGAACTTTCCATTTTGGAGTGCCAGGGGTTTTCTGGGGTTTTGCAGCTTGTAACCACGTTCCATGGTTGTTATGATAGCTGTACTACACATGAGCTGGTTTCTTTCCTTTAGCATGTTGATCAGGGTTGTTGTGATTAGTACATTTGCATCATTCAGTAGATCTTTTTCTGGTTTATTTTGTTATTTGCGCAAATTGGGGGACCTTTCTCTTTCTGTGTTCTGGCTAATATGGGTTACTATTTTTCCCCTCAGTAACGTCTGCCATTCTGTCAACTCATAATGTCTGGGTTGTTCCATAAGTTGTTCCTCTATTGATACATTTTCTTCCACTGTTGCATCTATGCCACACTCAATTTGTCTTCCATACTATGGTCATTGTTCTGTGTTGATTTTTCTTTTACCACATTTTTTAGTTCTTTCCATTCCAGTTTTGAAAATATTTTTCTCCAGACGATAAACCTTCTCTAGTCCATTAATTATTGTTCAATTATGTCACTATTTGGGTGTTTCCTTTTCCAAATTTCCATCATTCTTTTTTTAAAACCATGGGCTGTTTCATTTGCCTTGTAATAACATTTCATTGTTTCTCGATTTTTGGCGGGACTCCAAGTTTTACATTTATGTTGTGCCAATAGCTTTGTAGCAGCTTGTCCTGGTTGTCAACAGAGTCTGCTGAGCCCTGTAGCCCATTTGTCACTAGATGCCCAGGGGTTATAGCATCTGACGCGGTCCTTGTTGACCCGGCTGACGACCGATCTGGTATGGATTTCTGTATTTCCTCTCATCATAATTTATGGTTAGTGGGCACAGTTGGTCTGGCTTCTCAGCTGAGACCTGTCTGGCTTGGGAGACCCTTCAGTGTAGTTCTCAACCTCACTGAAGCACGCAAGCCCCCCCGCCTCAACAAGGCCTGTGCCCATGAAGGGTGGTATGTTGTTGTTGTTGGGGGGGGGTAATGATAAGTGGGCAAAAAGTATGAAAAGCCTACAAATGTACAAGTTTAATACAATGGCTGGCCATAGCAGAAGATGGCTAGTGAGGTGTAGCAGAATCAAGTGAGGTCCAGCCAGCTACTTTTCTTCTTCAGGAACACCTTAAGGCCATGTAAGCAATGAGTTGCAGATATTTGGCATATAACTAAATGGGAGAACTATCTCTTGCTTTGGTTCCTAATAAATGTGTGATGTCATGTTCTGTTCTGTGCCATGCTGTGCTTATGATGCATATCTTATAGTTTTGAAGAGGCTGGTGGGTGTAGCTGGCTTTGTAATTTTGAAGATTATAGTGAAGATGCTCCTCTGGATTTGAAAAGACAGCGTACCTAAAGATACTTCAGCAAAGACTAATAAAGAAACTATCATGCCTTACTTTATTTCAGAAGGGTTGTGTGGGTTGCTGTCTCCATCGCTTACAGCCTCCACTTTCCGTCACACTTTTTTAAAAAAATTATGAAACATTACAAGAATATATAAACAATCAGGGCTGAAAAGTAACAGCAAAATATCTGTCAGTTTTCCAGTCTCTCCTAAGCACTAACTTTTCACAGAGGCATCATCAAAGTGGCTCCATTAATCACTAGACATACCAATGATTAAGATTGTTCTACAATTTGGAAGTTGGGTCAGGGAGGAATCTGGCTTTTTTGTCAATCTTACATATGTCAATGATGCACCCATATGATTGCAGAAAACTTGTTCTAGAATTAGTATTCTTAACATCTTCAACAAATTTGAATGATAATCTCTGAAATGAGTCTGCTTCATTCTGGAATTTAATGATTGCATGGTCTTATTTCATGTATTGACAAATGCTGTTCCCTTCGCCAAGCTGTAAATTATTTAAAAGGACAAAGTATATATAAGTGAGTAAAATATTAATCTGTCATTATTGTTATCAGAAAACAGGAGGACAAGGCAGTCTCTGGCCAGAGTGCAGGTTTTTAAAGATACCATCTGTTTCGAAGACATGGCTGAACCTGAGGTGTCCCACTTGTCCTAAATGACCAGCTTCCACTGTTACCTGAGCCAAAATCTTGAGCCTGAGCCAGTTACATGCTAGGAAAATATTTTGAAACACTTTGTAATTAGCACATTAATGTTAACAGCAAGGTGACTGAATTCTGCTTTCACAAACATGGGACTATGGCCTCAAAAGAAACCCATGTTTCAATCCTGAAAGCCTATCACCAAACAAGCAAGCTAATTAATAATTCCAAAGGTGAAGGAAGCTTATGCTGTTCCATTCACACACTTTCATTAGTTAAGAATTTCTTCAGCCACAGTCTATCTATAACATCCATTTTCTAGTCCCAAATTCACAGTTTCAGTAAAGTTCATTCTCTACAGGAAATGGGTCACACACCTCGCTTGCCCACCTTCCTCCAGATCTTGGCACTGGGTATATTCATAGTGGTAGGGAGAAGTAGGGGCAGGGTTAATATGCACAGTCTTGCTCGCACCTTCTGTGTGGCCTTCTAAAATTTGGTCATTGTAACCTATCTAATCTCATGTATTCTAAATTTTGCAAGACTCTCCTCACCTTCATGAAGTTTGATTGTTTTGGTCCCCAGCAATGATGAACAAAATGGCTTTTAAGAACAAAATAGCCATAATTGAAGTCACAATAGGCAATTGGACATCCAGGGGCAAAAATGAGACATGGTCACAAACATAACTCTAAGAATCTGCACTCACCTCCCTGCAGTGTTTCTCATGGGGTTCATCTGAGAATTAACTATTTTCAAATGAGGAAGAATGATGCTTGTAACGATTTGTGAAATTAATCTCCATCTTTTGAATTTTATAAATCGTACATGTTACTGTGAATCCAAATAAAAGTGGTGTGTGTATGAGTATACAGGTCAGCTCTCAGTTCCCAGAACGTTAACACTGTTTTTACAAATGTGGGCCTTTTAAGACAACTATATAAATACAGTAGGCTCTCTGATCACAGAGCATGGGCTGTGAATCTCTCCACTTCATCCCATACATCAGAAATGAATTGTGTGTACAGAACCTCACCCCATGCATGTGAACGCTTTGCAAAGGTTCAGCGTTCCCCTGCTGGCCTTGTGAGAACATGTCAAGCACATGTATCCTAAATAGCTGACCAGGACAAACAGTGGACTAACCTGTTTGTCGTGGCCAAATACAGTATTAGCTTAATGTAACTGCTTTATTTTTGCCCATGTGCCACTGGCTTTCAAATAACATCTGGGTGCTGCCCATGAGCTGAGTGTTTTTCTTTGAAAACATGTCTTGCTCACGTAGATGATGTTACTGTCAATTAGTCAAGAGTAACAGCATTCCTCTGTTCTCTCTTGCATATACAGAGAGGTATATTTCTATCAAGAGCTAATTCTGTATATGTAGCAGTGGGCAGGAAGTAGACTGAGATATACTGCTTACATATGCAAAGATTTCTGACATCCACCTGTATAACAATGGCGTCTTTTCCCCTCCTGAAAATTATATTGCTGAAATTGTTAAAAGTTTACAGAAAGCAATCAGCAGTGAATTTTGCATGCAAGGACGGTGAGTTCAGTTCAGTTCTGGCACTCAAAGTACTTGGGTTTAGGCTTCTCCATATGTCTTTTTGCTGGGATCTGGATGATAAATCTCTATGCTCCACCCAAAAAAAAAATCAGCCTTTCTGAAGTCCAGCCACAACTGGGCTAATGTAATGAGAGTTTGAACATCTGCATTTTGTTTGTTTGTTTGTTTTCCAGCAAGTGCCCCAGCCTCACCTCGAGAAATGATCAGTTTGAAGGAAAGAAAAACAGACTATGAGTCCACTGGAACAAATGCTACTTACCATGGAAATAAAGGAGAACACACTTCAAGGAAAGACACAATGACAGGTGAGGCTGCTGTTACATACTCTACACGTTTTTTTTTTAGACAAATCACTGGAATGTACTGCATTTGTCAACATGTTTAACATGTTTATAGGTATTAAAACTTTGTAAAACATCTTGAAGCTTTCCTAGCTAATATAAACATATAATGATATTGCTTATTGTAATGAATCCATTTTGAATGCCATCAAATATTGAGCAAACAATTCCTTCTATTTCTGATTTTGCAAGTGGTGATACATTCACCCTGGGTATTTTGTACATGTCATAGTTTCAGCCCATTTTGTAGAGAGAGCTTACAGAGAGCTGCATGTTACAAAGCCCTAGTGAGGTAGAAAACAAATTACAGCGTCAACTCCTACAGCATGATGTTTAATTCAGTGATAAAGCTTTATATTGGAATGAAACTTTAAAATGGTATTTCTCCTTTGGTTGGAGGAGAGGTTTTCTCTCATTTTATAAGAACATTTCTTCCCAAACAGAAAGATATAAATGAGATTTACTTTACCCATTTTGGCTTTATAGTGCAATCTCAGATAAGTATGTGCCATGATCTCTAGGTAGTGCTGTGGCTTGGCTGGAACTGGAATCTTCAGTTCCTCCTGTATTCCCTCAACATTCTTTTGTTTCTTCTTCATGTTATTATAGCTCTCTTTTATCCTTGAGGAGTATAATTGTTCTCTTACCCTTTCCCCCCTCCTCATTTTTTGATACAACCTAACTGAAAGATTCTCCTTCCTGTAGAAGCTCTTGGAATTAGCTTAATTATATTGCAGTGCGGGCGCCTGGATATTTATGGCAAAAAGCTTTACAGTATGTTGAAAAGTGCTGCACTCAAGCAGGGGTTAAATGGGGCTGGGCAGTGCGAAAAGTCCTCCATGCATGGGGTATTGCTTCTTGCCTGTCTTGAGTAGTCCTCTGGAAGAATTGTCCCGCATTTCTCCACTTCCACCAGTACTGAGGGAATGGTGGAACAGCCTAAGAATACATCCAGGACAGAATTCTCTACTCTTAGTGGTTAAAGGTTGAAGGATAGTGGGTTAACTTCTCATTCTAGCTGCACTCTTTGCATCCAATTAAAACTTGTTGAGATTGGAAAAAAATGTTCATTCTTAGGCTAGTGTTTACTCACAAGCAAAGGTAAGCCAGTGTTTGTAGAAGTACACAAAATCTTTATAGGGTAGAAAACCTCCAAAAGTTTTTCTATACCAGACCCAGCCTGTCTGGTCACGAAGAGAGGCTGCAGAGGTTGTTTGGAAGTGACAGTAGCCATAAACAAATTCTACAGTAGATGCTAGAAATCTACCAGTTCACTTACTTTCAGAAGCCTACTGCAGTGGGAGAAAATTGCAAGCTCTGTAAGAGGCTCAAAAAGCTAGAAAGAGGAGGCAAGAGGAAATACAGAGCTTGGGAGGGGCAGAGAAAGTGCAAGCCAGCAATCACAGGAGAAAGGAGAGCAGATGGGAAAGAAGAGCAGTTCTGCAACATGTCCTAATTAACCGAAGCCTAAACAGAAAGCAACTTCATTAGACTGCCTGATTTTTCAGAATCCACCTAAGGTAGAAGAAACAAAACAGAAATCTTAGATGAAGAAACAATTGTGAAAATTAGAGTATTTTACTTAAGAGCCTTTTTGGTAGGAGTGGATGCAGTTATGGACTAGGACCCAGGAAACCTACAGTCAAATCCTACTCAGTCATGGGAACTTACAGGGTAGTGTGTGGAACTGGCATTTGTTTAATATCTCACCTCGAAAGCTCTATTAGGGTTGCTGTAAGTCAGAGGCAAATTGAAGACACATAACACTAGTAAAAACAGGATTGGATTTCTCTGCCACGTAAGTATGGACACACACAGACAACAGATACATGGAAGGTGTACGTGGGAGGACCAGATGTAAAGGGAAACTCAGGCATGTTAATGGTGAGCAGTTAAATAAACTGAATGGGGAAGGTTCACAACTTCTTAGGAACTCTTGACAATGATGCTTGTAAATCTTTTTTTCCCCACAAAAAATTATGATACTTCAGAATCTTTCAAAAGCAGTCATTTCTAATTTCTTTGTCGAAAGCAATGCTGTTATGTTCAAAATCTAATACCATTTGATACATATTGCCAAACTCTTATAAATATAGCAGTCACATAAAGCCGCTTTGGAAGATGTGGTTCCGTCATTCCTTATTATATTTTGATTCCTAATGAGCTGGCAACTGAAGAACCAGGAAAAAGACCACCTCTACATGTTGACAAGGTATTAAACTTTTTTTGTTGGATTTCAGCGATAGTAAGAAAGTTTCACTTGACACATTACGTTAATAACTCCAGATCCCTGGCAAATGCATTATGTACTGATACACGTTTTTGTCCCTTTCATACTTGCCATTCTTGGTGCTCACAGGAAACACCTGAAATGTATCCCTCAGAAACTGAAAATGTGTGACTTAAAGTTGGACTCTGTTTCTACATTTTTGTCACTCACAGTTTCTGCAGTTCATAGCTGGATTGTGGCCATTGCTTGTTGGAATCAAACATGGTAACACAATCCACAGGGGTTGATGGTTCTCTAGGCCAGTGGTCCCCAACCTTGGGCCTCCAGATGTTCTTGGACTTCAATTCCCAGAAATCCTGGCCAGCAGAGGTGGTGGTGAAGGCTTCTGGGAGTTGTAGTTCAAGAACATCTGGAGGCCCAAGATTGGGGACCATTGCTCTAGGCATTGCATTACAAACAATTTTTTTAAGCAGCGTCTGATAACAGAAATCAGAAGCATCACATATGGCACCTATTTTCACTTCTTTTTAAGGAAAACAATTGTCTTATGGTTTTGTTATTAACACTAGTACTTTTTTGTTCATAATTGATCTCCCCCCCCCCAATTTCCCTGAAGTTCTTTCTCTCTGATTTTCACACATACTGTTTTCTAGTTGCATACAAACACTGAGACTCAAGCATTCACCACCTGGTTGCCCTACCAGGTGTTCATCTCTCTATAAAGAACAAGCTTAGACAACCAAGCCAAACATAATGGGATCTACAGTTGTTTGTCTCGTCTGATTGAGAATGGAGATCACAAGTCTTATTTGTTTTTTTCAGGTTACTTATGTTGAGCTCAGGGCAAGTTATTACTGCATCAAATAAAGCTTCATCTGAAGAAAAGAGGAAGAATAAATGAAAGAAAAAATATTCTGTTTGTGTGTGAAATGTTTACAGCACCTTGAAAAAGAGCGTCAACAAGCATGAAAAAGAAAGGAGATCAACCAAACATAAAAGCTGTTCAATAAAGCATAATACAGAATCTCAACTTTGTGTGTCTTTTAAACAAAACAAAACAAAAAAGAATACCTTCAACAGATAATTTGCACTCAGGTCTTCCTTCTGGCTGATTTGCATATCTATTGCATAAGTAGCTGTCTTGATTTATGTATTGCAAGACAAAGGTTGTGAGGATGTGTGTGGCCATAAAGAAATCAAACACATCTCTGTAATCATCATGAGGATGAGATAGAATGTTGAAGCATTCCTTCCTCAGGGTACATTTCAGTGGAAAGGGAAATGAAAGTAGTGGCAACAAGGACTCGTAAGAGAGCTCAGACCAGTAGGTCTGACATTTGAAGGGAAAGCTGAGGGGAAATGCTTGGGTTTGCTTATTCCAACTTGCTGTCAACACTATCAGTGATATGTTTGGATGTACACTGTGGCATTTACCCCGTAGGCCCTGTTTGTTTCACCAAACACAGGGCTCACACGAGTATCCCAACACGCCCTTTAACATGCTGCCACCAGTTGATCTCTTTATCAACCTGTACCTCCTATGAAAGACTGAGGTCCATTCAGTACTGCACTTTTAAACAGAAACAGGTTTATTGATTATAAGTTGTTTTAGGAATAGTTCTTAAGCATATTTTAAATTTACACAAAGCTTCAGTATTTTACTTTAACCTCTTCTATCTTAATTAATACAGGTCACACTCTGACTAATCACTCCTTAAACACTCTCTCTGCCTCAAAACCCCTAAACTCTTTCTCTGACTGAACTCCCTAGACTCTGACTCGCCCTCCCTTCTAGTTTCTCTGGCTCCGCCTCTCAACAGCTCCCATTAGTGCAGGCCAATATTATTATATATATATATAGGAAGACAGGGTGTTTGCTACATACCTCCCCACTTAATAAGTTTGTTCTATGAGGGGAAAGCCAGCAGCTAAGTACATGCAAATATAACAATAACTTACCAATATTTATACATATAATACAGTTTTCTATCCATTACTAGGTTTACTAGACCAAACGTACCACTTTAAACATTTAAAACAGTCAATACAACTATAAACATTTGCACTACTCACATTAATATAAATTACATTACCTCTACTGTATATTAATAACTCTACTCACCATTATTTCCCATCACTATGCACCTTTCAGTTCATCAGCATCCAAAGAAACATCTCAATTTAACCACATTTCATCACTAGTACACAAACAGAACATTTAATACAACATTACAAACTTATCCACCCATTAGTCATTTGGTTTATCCGCCCATTAGTCATTTGGCCTTCGAGACAAGGCATCAGCATCCACGTTCAGAGTCCCTTTTACACGGATTACAAAGTCAAAGTCTTGCAAGTTCCGTGTCCATCTTGCAAACTTCATCATTTGTAACCACAGCAGAGGGAAAGGGTCGGTGCAAAGGATGAATTTCTTTCCCCAAATGTAGGGCTTCAGTCTTTGCAGCATCTAAACAACTGATAGGCACGCCCTCTTGATGGCAGACAAATGTCTCTCACCAGGTCGGAATCTCTTGCTAATCAGAGTCATGGGGGGTAGACTCCCTCTGTCATCCACTTGGCACAGTATGGCTCCCATACCCACACTTGACATACTGATGTATACAATGACCTCATGATTGTAGTCCAGCACAACAAAGGCAGATCTTTACGTTTGTGCTCTCTTCTGATGATTGATGGTCATCAGGAACTCTGATGTCCACTGGATGTCCTCAGC